TAATTGACTAAAATTAAAGTTAATATGATTAAGCTTTGAAATAAATGCTGAAAGTAAAGTGTGATTGGAAAAAAAGCAAAAGTTTAATTAAAATATGTAATATAATCAATTAAAATTAAAGTTAATATAATTAAAATTAATATAATAATTAAAATTAATGTAATTAACTGAAAGTTAATTAAAGCATGTAATATAATTGACTAAAATTAAAATTAATATAGTTAAAATTAATATAATTAATTAAAAGTTAATTAAAGTATGTAATACAATCAGTAAAATGGAATAAAATGAAAAAAAAAGAAAAAAAAAACAAACACCCATCATTAGACCACCATCGCATCCAAAATTTGAATAAGTTTCATCACTACAATCGACAATATTCTGCTCCGAAAGTTCTATCAATTTACCTGTCCGTAGAAAATGTTGTCCTTCTAATGCGCCAACCGCACTAAATGCCCAACAACTTCCACAATTACCCTTTAAAGAAATAAAAAAAAAATGCAACATTTTTATTTTTCCAATCTTTTTATTATTTTTTCTTTTTTTTTTTTAGCTTTGAAAATTAAAAAGAAAAAAAAAATTTCTCTAAAAATTATTTTTTTTCTTTCTAAATTTTAATTCTTTTGTTTATTTTATTTTGTTTTTTTTTTTGAACTAAAAAAATTTCACAATACCTGATCTTTTACTTTAGTTACAGCACCTGCTGTACGCCAATCAATCTTTTCCGGTAATGGACCATTAATTTTCATATGAACAGCATTTTTGAAATCATTTTGTTTTATCTTTTCTGATTGAAAGCCATAAAGTTTGCTTAATTCTTCGGGAAGCTTAAAATTTCTTAAATTTTCAAAATACAATTTTTAAAAATAAATAAAAAAGAAAAGTATTACATAATACCAAATAAACGTGATAATTCAACGTGATAGCTCAACGTGATCTCTCAAATAAACGTGATAGCTCAACGTGATGCCTCAAATAAACGTGATAGCTCAACATGATGCCTCAAATAAACATGATAATTCAACGTGATCCCTCAAATAAACGTGATAATTCAACGTTATCTCTCAAATAAACGTGATATTTCATGATAAAGATAAATATATAAAGAATCATTAAGTGAATATGCATGTGGTGATGTATTGATTTGTATGTATCAAATATTAGATTGTGATTAAAATTTGATAATCATTTAAATACATCCATGTTATGTGCTTGTTTAACAATGAACTTAAAAAGTTTCTATACTAATGTGAGCTAACAAAAAGGTCAATCCATGCAATGTCATCGTTGAATCCTCGTAGAGAAGGTGAGAAAATTAAATTTTCCAAAAGGGCTAAATGAAAATATTGAAATGATTTTTGTGGCAATATCATATCCGTACATATATATATATATATATATATATATATATATATATATATATATATATATATATATATATATATATATATATATATATATATATATATATATA